AAATCTTAAAAAAAAAATAAATTTTAGAAGCCAAATAAGAATATTTTCATATTAATAATACCTAAATTCCATTTACATCTAATTATTGATTATTTGAATAGAATGTTAATATAATATGTTATCTAAAATCATCTTAAATATTTTATAAGTATAATTAGTCTATCTGCATCAAATTCTGGAAAATTCAATCTGTTTTTTGTTTAAGAATAACAGTTATCTGATTTTTTCTCAATATCAAGAAAATCAAAATCATTGGTTTCAAAGATAAGAAATAATTTGGCAAAATTGGTAGTATACTAAGAGCACTGAGAGAAACTTAGCAAATTGTCTCCAAACAACTAATGCTAAAAGTCAAGAAATCAGGAAATAATTATAATATATTTATATAACTATTTATCTTAGAATCTAGACTAATATATTAATAAAGCTGTACATAACTAGAATGTTTATCTTGAAAGTATTTTTAGATATAAAATAAATGAATTAATAAAATAGATTTTTATTATGTGAGTATATCAATCATCAATATATATATAGAAATATAAACTTTAGATGTATTTGTTATTTTAATTCATTGTAAATTTTTGCTTAAAATAATAATTTTTTGACGAAATCAACATAGGAAATTTTTTGTTATAAAACTATCTATTTAATAAAAGAAATAATTTTACAGATTTTGATTATTAAAAAAGGAAAAATTAGATAAGTATATTTTATAGGTTAGGGCTCAAAAAATTAACTTGTGAATTAATATTTCATTTTAATAAATAATTGGTAATAAAAAAAAATGCATGTAAAGTTTTTATTAATCTAAAAAAATTACAGAATCAGGACAAAGCCCATGTATATTCAAAACTTTTCTTAACTAAATATAGTTGACCTCCTATATAGTTACTCTTCTTATAAAATAAATGAATATTTAAAATATTATTATCATTTCATTTGTCAGTATCTATAAGGTATAAAAGGACTTATCTTGAACTATAATTAATTGATGATACTACTAAGCTATAATGAGCAAATATTAATGAAAGATACAATCTTTATTAATGAAAAAACATCTGAAGATTATTTTCTTATAAACATTGTACTGTAGAGAAAATGAATATTATATTATATTTATTTGTATAACTACTTATTGACTAAAGTATTATTAAAAGTATTTGTTTGCTGACATTAGGATTTACTGTATTATCTTTCGAATTTTTATCTTACATAAAGATTGCAAACAGTTTTTTATTAGAAACAGATTTTAACAGCTTGCACATTTGTCAGAAAGATAGTCATTTTGAACAGATAGTTAATATTATTATCACACAATACTGATTTGCTAAATTATGCTTATTAAAAAGTTTTTTTAATAAATAAAAATATTATATCACATGTAATTTGACTTAGTGTTAAAGAAGAGTCAAACACCTTTCACACTAAAACAGATAACACTTATTTTGTTAATACTTTTTCATATATAAATAAAACTTTTTTTTCACTTTTTAAGAAGTTTTATTTTTTACAATTTATATTTTAATTACTTTATTATATATTTTATTAATACAAGTATTAATAATATTTAATTTATATTAACAAACAATCTTTTAAAGGAAAATTTATTGAATACAGCACGTAAGCATTCAAGTAGAGGACTTTTAAAAGAGAAAGTATAAAATATAAATAATTATTAGATTTATTAAGAAGAATTTTTACGAAACAACTGAAAATTAAGAATTATCTTAATTATAATATAACTTTATAGGTAATCGCTAATAACTTCATAGTTACTATAAGTAATGTATTGATTTGTAGATTTTGCCACTTCATGACAAAATATCTATTATTATGTGAACTGAAAAGTAATTAATTTCTAATAATCTGTAGAAATTACTATCAATAACCTTTTGCTGTTGCAAATTATCATATATGATTATGTTCTTATTAAATTTAGGTTTAAGTTTGAATTTTGAATTTTTTGAATTTTCATAGTTTTTTTTTAAACTTAAATATAATATATGTTATACTAAAAAAAGAAATTAAATTAAAACAAAAAAAATTCAGAAGATTAGTTATAAATATAAATATTTTATAAGAAATTAGAATAAGTTTTAATAAAAATTAAACTGTTTACTTAATATTACAAAAATTTTTACTATTATTATTAAATTAATTTTATTATTTTATTTAAAATATTATTTATATATAAATAATAAAAAAATAGAAAAAAAAACTTTTTATTGAAAATATATTTATTTAAAATAACTTTAATAAATTATATTAATTTGAAAAAAAAATCAAAAAAAAATCAAAAAAAAAAAAATATTTATTAATTATTTACTAAAAATAAATAAATAAAATAAATAAATATTTAAAAGGGTATTTAATTTCTACGTATCTGTATAAATTATAAGATGCATATATTATATATAAAATTTTTAAATTTTGAATATTTTACGTATTGATAAAAATTTAAATAAATTTTTTAAAATAAAATAATACATATATTTTTTTGTGTTCATTCCTTTTATTACATAAAAATAAATTTTTTTTACAAATGCATGTTAATAAAATATTAAAAAAATTTAGTTAAAAGATATAAGCAGGAAGCTGGGCTCAAATTACTACTATAATTCAAGGCACTGTCAGTGGCTTGAATTACAGTAGTAATTTGAGATTAATTAGAATAATAATTTTCATTTCTTTATTTTATTTAGATTTAAAGGACAAGTTATATGATTATGTCTTATATTATTATATAAATCACATTTGTTTTGTTGATTTGTATTTTCATCAGTAGATTTATTGGATTTTAATTCTTTCAAAGAATTCTTATATCTTGTAACTTTATGAAGTCTTCTCTTTGGATATCTAATTATAGAATTTCCAAGTTGGTTGGCATTTTCCTGATCAAACTCTAAATTAATTATATTTTGATTATCTAATGATTCAACTTTTATAAACTCCAATGCTTCACAATTTTTTTTAGTAATATATTTCTTAAGTAATGTAACAAAAGATTTATTACTAGTTTTGCAAGTAATTTGGCATGCCTGCTTAGATAAACCTTAAATATTAATATAATATAATTTTTGTTTACTAATTATAGCATATATATTGTTAATAGGATTAATATTTATTAAATTAAAAAAATTAGAAGGATTGTCAAGTAAAATAGACATATTCATTTCAAACTTTGAAGCAGGATAAAATAAATAACTCTTAAGATCTGGAGGGGTTGCAATATACTGTTGTGAATTAAAAAATCTAATATAAAATTAAGCTTGAAATATTCATAGTATTACACAAAAATAATACTTACAAATAATACTACGGTTAATTAAAAATATGCATAAATATTTGTATATTCCATTATATAATAAAATAACTAAATAATGTATTTTTGAAGAAGTTAAATAGCTAATACTCCAAAGAGATTTGATTTTATTTTGATCACATGATAGTAAAGTTGTTGAAAAGAAAGTTATCGTACTTTTTGTTTTTCAATAAAATCATTAGTAAATGACCAGTTCTAAAAGAAAAAAAAATGCAATTCATTAATATTGAATTTATAAATTATAATATGTAAAAAGTTTTTAATATTTCTGAGAATTTTTATACTTAATTCAAGACTGATCTAAAAATTTCGCATCATAATTAAATGCTAATTCCATTTCAGTATTATAAATTTTTTGAATTAAAGTTGTAAAATTCTTAAGTTCATTAATCACATTAGCAAAAATATTAGAAATCATTGTGTTAGATTAAATTATTAAAAGAGAATTTTACCAATTTAAATAATCAATATTATCTTGTTTTTCTTCTAATTACTCTTTAATTATAAAAAAAATATCCACAAGTGTATTATTTAAATTATGTAAAAGATGTTTAAAGGTCACATTAATAGATTTGTAATATGATATTGTTTGAATATCTATTGTAAATATAGTAGTATTAAATATTTGCACTTAAGAATATTTAAATGAATAAAGAGCTCTTTTAAGATAATTAGCTGCATTTGAATAATTAACAAGTAAATTTCTCTAACAATGTTCAAATACTTTTTTTTTTAAGTTATTTTTACATTCATAAAAATCTTTTTTAAATTGGTCAAATAATTTACTAAGTTTTGATTTAAGATATAAAGATAGATTTTTTCTGATATATCAAATACAATGAATTGGAAATGTAGAAGAATACTTTAATCAAATAGCTAAATCCATACCAGGATTAACTTCTATTATAAATACTTTTAGTACAATCCCTATTGCATCTATTATACATTACAGAATCTATGCATATGCATTTTTTGTTTCACAATCTATTAATGCCTATGCAATAATTTGTGATTTCACATTATTATCTATTATCACAAAAAAGGAAAGAGACATCTTATAACGGTTTGTTTTTGAAGTATTATCATTAAGTATTATATCATTATAATGATATCAAATTTCTAATTGGTTGGAATTCATCAAAAAAAATTTGTTAATGTGTTTGTTTTATAGTCCTAATCCTTGTAAATTACCTAATGTAAATCATCATCTTTGTATTTTTCAAGATATTCAAAAAGCTATGAAACATCATTATCCAAATAATTATCATTATAACAATATTTATAAATCACCTTATAGATATTTTTATTATAAACTTTGTGATTATATTTAGCTTTTAGTATTTATTTAATTGCTAATAGTTTTAAATAACTATACAAATACATTCATTTGATATTATCTAACATTAGTTTAGTAAAAATCTTCTTATCAGCTTTAAATTGACATGCAGAAGGATCCAAATCTGTTTGAAGTGCTTATCAAATATTGTGATAATAAAAATTATAAAATCTTAATTATTTTTGATTGGTTAGAAAAGATTAACATACCATTTACAATTAGTTCAATAAGTTTTTGATGACTTATTAGTTTTTTTTTGATTTATTATTATATACTCCTTCACAATAACATTCAATTATTTAATTTCTTAATTTATTTTACACTTTTTCAGATCCTCTTTTACGAATACCAAAGTCCTGTTAATGAGCCTATTGTTTGATATGATCAAATGCAATTTTTTAGGTAAGAAAAGATATACTAACTTCTAATTTTAGAGGTGAAATATTAATATTTTTATTCAAAAATAACTATCATCATCATCGTAATTACTATCACTAGGAATATCTTTAATAAAGTTATCTTTAAAATCAAATATGTCATTATCACTTGACATGAACTTAGAATCACTCATTTTATTTATTTTAAGGAGAAAGAAAAATGAAAAATATAGAAATAAAAGAAAGGAAGTAAGGAAGCGAAAGAATTTCTATTAAAAATTCTCAGTTTAAAAATGGATACTTCATATTAATAAATATATAAAAATTATAAGTTAATTATCATTATTGTTAATTTTCATAATCCTGTTTGACAAGAAAAAGATAAAGATAAAAAATAAAATAAAAATTAAAGATTACGAAGAAAAACAATAGAAATAGAAAAAATAGTTTATCATTATATAAAGATCAAACATAAGATTATGTGAAAATCAAAAGTCTAAATTTAATTGTATATCAAAAAGGTATGTATAGGTATTTATAATACATATATTAATAAATCGATTTATATAAATTCTAATATTACGTACATATTAAAATTACTACACATGAAATATAATTTATGTATCTTACATAAAAGACAATTTCTCTATTTAAAAATATTAAATTATATCAAAAATATATATTAATATTTTACTTATTTTATTATTTTTTATTATTTTTATATTGTCATTTTGATACATATATATTATATTTTATCAAATATATTTATTTATATTAGTATTATATCTAATATTTTAATCTGATTAGCCTATATATCTATCTTAGAAATTATACTAAAATATATTATAATTTTATTAATTATATATTTTATAAATAAAGTAATTATAAATATAAATATTTTTAAAAATATTTTTAATATAAATATTTAAAAATAAATTAATATAAATTTATAGATAACTTTAAGCAAATGAAAAATTAATATAATTAAACTTTTATATAATTATACAATTAGTTTTTAAAATTTGTATAATATATAATAGAATTTTGATTAAAATTATATTTTGACTAAAATTATAATAATTATAAAAGGTTAAAATTACTAATAAAATAATATATATATAGAAAAATTCTCTCTCATTAGGTTTTATCTAAGAATTTTTATATAAAAAATATGTTAGTTCAAAAATAGCTAAGATTTAACTTATAAATAAACAAAAAAAAACTCTTTTTTAAAAAATTTTTCTTTTTTTATTTTTTTAATTTTTTTTTCAAAAATAGTCTATTATTAATTTAAATGATAGTATTTTTTATTAAAATATTTTTCATCACTTTTCTTGACTAATTTTCTTATTTTATTTTATTTTTATTTTTATTTATAAAATATATATCAGAGAATATCTAAATTGATGATTAAGATTGATAATATTTTAGATATAAATAAATCTTATATAATGATCTTTTTATTTTTCTTTCTAAATTAATATACTTTTTATATATAATTTTTAATGTTAAAGACTGCAAAATCTTATATAATATTTTTCAGACTTGATATAATTTTTGATTTAGATATCAGCAAATATCTTAATATAAAAGTGATAGTTAAAAAAAACTTTTTTAAAATTTAATGATTTAAGTTTATATTAAATGATGATTGTAATTTAAAATTAATTAAATATCTTAATTAGAAATTTAAAAAGAAATATTTATCTTCTTTTAACTTTTTTTTTTTTTTTTTTTAGAAATTAATATTAAATTAAATTAGTATTTATAGATTTATTATTTAATTAGAAAATATAAGGAATTAATAGATATTTAAGAAAAATTTATAATATTTGATAAATTTTTTTGTATTTTTTATTGAATAATTAGTAATTAAAAGTATTTTTAGTTTTAGTAACTATCTAAAGAAAGATATTAGTAATTAGTTAACTTAAATAAACTTAAAATAGGATTACATGTAAGGTTATTAGATAAAATTTAAAGGTTTTATAAGTTGTTTAAATGGAAAAAAATAAAATTTAATGAAATTATATTAAAACCTTATTAAAAAATTTACAAAATTTTAGAAAAGGTAAAACTATATCAAAGCATATAAAAATGCGAAATTATATCAAAACCTTAGTAAAAATTAGTGAAACTATAGTTTAGACATTTTGTTAATCCAAAATAAGTTTAGACAAGCAACCTTAATTATATGAGATAGTTGTAATTTTTATTTAATTTTTTCATTATGTTTTTTAAATGTTCTGTAATTATAAAATTATTTTAATAAAGTAATGTGATTATAGTCAATATAAGGGTAATTTATTATTATTTAAATTTATTTTTCAAAATTAGATGATTATAAAGTAATATACTAATATAAGGTATGACTATATAAAAGTCTGATTATATATAATAAATTTAAAAATATAATAAAAATTATCTAATTTATTATTATTTATGATTGATATATACTTATTATTTAGAAATATTAACAACTTTTACATTATAAATCTGTAAAAATATTAATTTAACTGAAGTTTGATATAAATAACAGATTAAAAAAAGAAATTATATTAAAAAAGGTAAATTGCTAATATAAATGAGCTAAATTCTTTTTAAATTAAATCTATTTTGTTAAGTTTTGCAACTAAAGATAATAAATTATTAAAGATAAAAGTATTGTATTAAGTAAAAGTAAATAAAATAATTGTAATAGAATTATTGCCAATTTTATTAATTTTTTTTTATGATTATTATATTAAGGTAATGCATTAGAGGTCTTTAATTTAACGGAAAATAAAGGATAATATGAATATAATTTATTAAAAATATCACATAAGCAAGGGTGAATTTGTATAAAATTTATTATCTAAATTGATTTAAAAAACATCATAATATTTACATGATAAAATTTTATATTCGAATATAACTTAGTAGCAAATTTCTTGATCTTGCAAAATTCCTAATAAATGATACATTTTCTTTAATAAATTTATTAATAAAAATCATTGGAATATTATAAATATCTATAAAATATATAAAAATAACTATATATAAGTTAATAATACATGATGAATAAATTTATATATCATCTTTCTACATCTTACTTATATAACACAAATAAAATTATGATTAATTTAATTATAATCTACATTAATTAATTAGTAGTAATAGCTACACCAATATCACTCTCATTTTCGTCATTTGCATCATCATCTTCAACATCATCAACAACAACATTATAAACATCGTTAACAGTCTCTTCTTGCATATGCATTTGTTGATGTTTTTGCATTGCTAATTTATTTTGTTGCTCTTTTTCTTTTTGATTAGCTAGCTGCCTTTCGTAAGCAAGTTTTTGGAAAAAATTTAAACTTTGTATAAATTTATTTCCAGTCTAAAAAAAAAAAAATTAAAAAAAGATATAAATACTGTTTTTAGTAATAATAATTGAAAATCTATTATCAGATTAAGATATCGTACTTACGGTATGATTATTAATTCTATTAAACAATTCTATCGTGTAGCTCCTTACAGTTTTAAGCGGATAAAATAATCCCAACCCAATCGGAAATAATCCCCCTTGATTTTGTGGTAAATACGACAAAAACTATTATAAAGAAGAAAATGAATCAAACGTGATTCAATCAATAAGGAGCGCTATGCAAGTCTGTTACATACCTCGATTATCTGTTCATTAGTTAAAACGTTAGTAACAAAAGCCTTATATAAACATTCTACCTCCTCTTCAGGCATATTTTTTAGATTCTTCAATTTAGCAACTTGGTGGTAAACATCTATAGCTTTTATACTTCTGACTTTTAAATAATTCTGAAAATCCTATTAAAATAAAAAATTTAAAGAGAAAATATTGAAGATTAAATAAAATAAGAAAGCACGCAAATCCTTCTTTCTCCTCTTACCAACTGATAATATTTGTAAGAAATAGTTTGTCTCCAGCCTTCAATTCTATTAACATTAGCAGCTACTTCACGTAATTTTGAATTCTCATCTTGAAATGCTAATCCCGTACCCAATATATCACCATGATCTGTATCTTGTGCCATCATGCCAATTTTTGTTGACCCAAAAGCCTCAATTTCATACAAAGCTGTTAACCTTACAAATCTTTGTACGTACTCTTGAAATTTCCCTCTAATGGTCGTTTCTCCATAATGATGTTGGATTGCATGCATCACCTATAATAAAAAGGTGATTGATTGATTCTTTAGGTTTGACTCAAAACGATTTTCTCGTTAATAGTAGCAAGTTTATATAACCCACCTCTGCCATAAATTCATTATCAGTGGTATCCCATTTTTCTCTTCCCCAAGATTCTGTTTTGCTCGAAGAAGGTGACCTTGACCCGTCTTCAGGCCTTTCGTCAGGTTTTGTACCATATGAAGGTGTCGCAATATCTTTACTAACTGTAATCTTTCCTGTATCAATGTTACATAACACATCCCACCATAAACTGTGATCCTCAAAAATTCTATTCGTTACTCCCGCAATAAATCCAGGACTATATAATAAAGAAGAATTTGTGTTATGAACCTTCCTTCCCCCCAACATCTCGTGAAAAGCAAATTAACATTCCTTTCTTGTCAACTTACACTTTTAATAAATCATCGACATTCGTCAAGTTGGTGTATGGAAATGCACGCTCCGTAAATCCTCTCAACACGCCTCCGCTACCACTTCCCATAGCGCAGGCTGACAGCACATAGTTCGCCACATCCCCCGAAGGATGCCCTTGGCCCAAAAATATTATGCGTTTTTGCGTCAACAACGCATTCAACAATAAAATTATTGGATGCGTTTGATTACCACTTGAGTCCAAATGTGGATGAAATGCATGATTAAATGGTTGTGGCGATGATGGTGAGAATGTTGTAATCAACTTAATCAAGGAGAACTATGAAAAACAAATACAATTCAATCTTTACTTTTTTTTTAAAAAAAAAGAGTCAAAAAAATTCCCACCTCCATTTCTAAAAAAGGAAAATAACTTACATCGCCAACTTCTTCAGGATTGACAGTTAAAGGCACGCGGATAGGCAACTTTATTCCATACTCAACTTTAGTCTCATAAAAATGCCTATCCTTATTTTTATTTAAATTTGGTATTAAATCTACATAAGTTGCTCTCTTAAAATTTGCGTCATCGCTTGTGGCATTATCTGTTCCGGCCTCGCCACCTTCAGCATTATTAACTATTCCTAAACCTTTTCCTGTATTCTCATTATCTTGCTGTTTTTTACAATTTTCATAATCGAACTTTTCTTCAAACATATCTTTATTCTCTGAAGCGCGCAGTATGGCTTTTTCATGTGTCGAGAATTTAGGCATATTTGTCACATTCATGGAATTTACCGCTTCATATAATGATGCTAAACATTCTACTGATGGATTTTGAAAATAATTTTCTAATGCTATTAATAAAACCGGCTAAAGGTGGATAACGAGTAGATTTTAATTAAAAGAATGACAAAAAGAATAAATTAATTGTAAAGAATCCTCGAACTTACCTTGTAAATATGTAAATATTGATGCCTTGTACATATAGCCATAGCCTTCACAATAGCACCTCTAATAAGCAAAATTCAAAATTCCAACAATTAATCAAAAACTCTCAATTTCAAATTCAGAAATCGAATGATCTCTCGATTAAACTTTTTACCAACCTTCTGGCCTCTTTAACATGCTTCGTTCTAACCAGATTTAACGCATATAATAATGGGGTTTCGTTATTATCATCATTAAGCCTACCAGAATTGGTATCATTGTCAATTGATATCTTATCTGGATCAGGAATGGTTTGATTTAAAAAGAATACTGTCCAATCTTCTGTGCGTAAATGCGCACCATCTGGTAACATTAACTCTGCTAATAAACTGATATAATTTTGACATTTGGTAAATTAATAAATTTTCATGAATTGAAATTAGGATAATTAACTTACTGTTCATCTGTACCGGTGGCTTCAGGATATTGATGTGCTAATGAAGATCCTTTATCGATATCGAATTCTGCCAACAAGATATGAGTAACATGAGCACCTAATGGAGAAGGCATGATTAATTTATTAAATTATTGATATTTTCCAAATTATTCTAAATTAATTGATTAAATTAGTTAAATCTAACACGTATTTAAATTATTAAGAAAAGGTAAATTTTTTTAATAAAAAATAAAAAAAAAAAAATTAAAAAAATAAATAAATTAAAAAAGAATGTAAAATTACAAGTTTAAAAAAAAAAAAAAGAGAATTTTTGTGAAACTGAAATTTTAGGGGAATAGACGAATTATGTTAGATTTAAAGGGTTCACAATTTACTGTTTATGAAATAAAACTATAATTCGTGTAACTTGACATTAAAAACCTTGTCACGTGTATCCCTTTCATAGAAGTTAATAATATAATTTTTCAGAAATAAATTTTGTTATAATTTTCAGAATAATAAAGTCTGACTGAATCGTCATTCGAATAAAAGGATTCTAAGATATTTAATACTTGATTAATTGCTTAATATTTCTCCAAAGAAGAGAGCCAATTCAATTATTTTTTGCTCGGCAACATCATTATTTCCGGTCTCATAGACCCGTAAGCATACATCCATAAAATGAGTTACTTTTGTTTCTCTCGTATCTATTCATTTTAAATACGGCTCAATGCGACACTAACCTGGCCACCAGGTTCGAACATTAATTTTTGATATGGGAAAATCAATTACTTTTAAATCAAGTATGGTTTTGAAGGTCGAGATTTGTTCGGATTTAGCTATAACCTGTTTTTCCCGGCAGTTTCCCTCTTTCTATTGCAAAGGTCCCACGAGGATTTAGCTTCCTGTATAATCATCATTTTATATCATTCTTGAGTGTTATGATTCCAAAGCATTTCCATAAGAACGCCTGTAAGTTTTCCGTTGATTTTAAATCATTTATTTCTCTCTAACATCTGTGCGTATGGTGAGCAAGGAACGTTCTGCCCTTCCAAGACTTTTATCATTCTAGGGATAGAATATAGCATAATATACTAATCACATTTCTTCCAATACAGAAGAAGCAAAAGGACGTGTTTCAGAGCGGAATTAAAGACCCAATTAACCAATGCAGTTTTTCCGTCTCAAAGGAGAATAAGGCTAAAAATCGAAGAAACGAGACAAAAAATGATGGATAAAAAATTCCGGTTTTTTCGCACTTTCCATAAAAGGTGACGTGAGAAAGTGAATTACGGGCTTACATGTGTTACCATAATAAATGGTTATTTATATTATTGTTTTTGTTAATCTTTTTGGTTACATCAAAAAAGAAATTTCTTTGGCATTAATTAACTTGATTTACATAATATAATAATACCACTATAGTTAAATGGTTGAATTTCCCTAAGATTACCAAAGGGTTAGGGGAGGATAACCCGAGAGTACGATCGACTATACCTTTTTTAAAAATCGAAAAGCCGATTAGAAAAATTAATAATTATAACAAGTTTGAACACAAACAAATGAACAATTTGATTAATATTATTACTATTATTTCAATGTTTTGAACTGGAAAATCAATTCCAAAGTCAAGACTGATAAACCCGAGGGACTTTTCAATAAAAAAACAACAGCTTTTGTTTAGAATGTGGCGAATTAAAAAGATATCATATTCAAGAACATTATAGAAAAACCACCATCATCATCTCAAGTTGTTTTGTCACAAAATCTATTTCCTATTATCATTCCCGTCCCATTTTATTTTACCCGTCGTGCTGATTTGACGCAGTAAGATAGAAGCACAAGCTCAATGTTAGGCGATAAAAGATGGGAACATAGATTAACGAAATCAATACTCATGAGGCTGAGTGTAACAATCCACTCATTCGAGCATGAATGTACATGAAAACTTGTAATGTTTATCGGTTTGTACCTTAGAATCTTCTCAAAGGCGGTCCAAATATCCGCAAAAAGATACAATGAGATAGATGTGTTTGGTCCATTCTTTCTATGGATTGCATTATATAAAATTAAATTTATGAGATTTATAACAATACAATGTTAAAATAACATTTTATGTGTGATTTATCATGCATACTTTTCTTGTCTTCTTGAAATGTAAATATCCCCTAGGAGAAAAAGATCACGTGAACATGCAAGAGATGACAAGTGTGCAACGGTGAAATTAATTAGTCAATTGTTCCTTGCTTAGAATAATCATTGTTGTATGCACGATCAAATTAATTTCGGTTCCGAAGATCGGTATTTAGAAGAAATTCCAAGTGACTTACCATAACTTTGCTTGAAGGCAAAGTGATTATTGGTAATGATGATGCTTTCAAGCAAAGTTATGGTAAATCACATCACACGCATACAAATCATTTCTTTTTTTAAGAATAAGGATGAAATTCGGGTTTTTTTTTTTTCATGCTGACTTCATTGGTATTATGGAACTTATGACGCCTGAATTGTCCACAATGAAAAAAATTTCTTTTGTCAATTCATTTACGGAGATAAAGAGAAAATGTGGTTTGTTTTCACGTGAGATGGAATTCCGCGCCCGTCTTCAAAATTTATGAAAAATTTTCACGAAGAAACTTTTTACCGCAATTTTAACAACGGTAAAAAATGGACAATATAACAATTCATGTTAATATTGTTCGGAGTTTAAGATATATTTCCTAATCTGTTCCGATTCAAATTGTGATTGGATCATGCCAAGTTTAAGTACGTCACTATCAGCAAAATCATAATAAACCGAAACAATGTATGTTCTTAATAATAAATATTGTTCACATTTAAAAACGAATCATTTTGAATAATGAATGCGTTTTTCATTTGATTCGGAGGTTTATGCAAAAGAATTTTTAATATGCATCAATGAGATTAAACCAATGTGCAAAAAAAGAACTACGGAGCTGCATTCAATGATTTAAATGATTTAGTAAAAAAAAAAAAAAAAAAAAAAAAAAAAAAAAATGGTATGACGCTCTCCCAAACTTTATTTTTGTCTTTATTTTTTTTTTTAAAATCAAAACAAAAAAATCAAAAATAGATTATCGACTAAGAATAAATAATTGCTCTTTTTTTTCCCAACTTTGGATTGCACCACATCGAAACACTTTCAATTCGTTCCAAGGGTCAATTCAACTACATAAATAACTTAATTTTGAATTTTGTCTTGTTTTCCTTAATCAATATATTCTTTCTCCTGATGCAAAGTAAACACGAAATATAGAACTTAAATGGAAATTATAGTCAGAAAAAGACAATTGAACGATTTTTATTCAATTGATGATGAAACTCTATGGCAGACAACGGGGGATTTGTCCAATTAAATTTAAGAATGACGCCTCACCTTATTAACATATTTGTGATAACGTAATGAAAATCCAATAATGAATATCCCCAGAACAGGGTTTCCACGTGGAATAAAAGCTTGCATTTCAAACGTGATCGTCGCATTTCTATACGAACCACATTAACGACCCCCCAGTGAACAATTTATGATATTGTTTTCGTAAAAACTTAAACAAGGGATTTCAACCGTATAAGTTCATCGACTCATAACAATGTCCAATGGTTCAAGAAGTTGGTAAAAGTTTTCGTGATAAAACCAAAAACAATGGGTATAACCAAATCCGCATAATCATTCTTTTTTATTTTACTTGGCCGATTTATGCAGTGTTTGAGGCTTTTCGTCCGAACATTCGAATCACGTCAATGGAACCTTTTTTTGGTCATATTTTGTATGATTTGTTGTTATACGATGTATACTTAACGTCTTATGGTTCGTTACATGTATGAGAACTTTTATGAATAAACGCGCATTCCCTTTTGTCTTGTAAAAGAGGAACAAACCTTTGCATCACAAATGCTAAAGTTGATGATATAAAGCTAAATCTTACGTAGAAATGAATTTTGTGAAAGAAGATACAACAGATCAGAAACGATTGTTCGTTATCAATACAATACGATATAATACCCCCTATTTATTATAATCACCAAGGTAGTAACTTATTAAGAGGAATAATCTGATTTGTTTCATTGTTTATTATCTCGTCGCAACACGAAACATTTTGTGACGCGTGTGATTAAATCGAATGACTCATGAGAGTAGTGCTTGCTTGATAAAGGAACGATCGATAGTCATATGCTTGATAAATGTTTGACAATCGTTTAATCGCTTTCCAACGGTTAACGTTTTAAGTCAAATTAACGATCACGAACATGATCCCAAAGTGAGACAAGCAGGATAAGCCGATTGTTTAATTGAGCCATTTCCTAGTATTGTATGCAATAATTAAATGAAAACGCGCGCGTTCTTTAAAAAAAAAAAGGGACGGATGGCCTTTATCTGCACGTTTTTACACCATATTAGTATAAATTCGGTTTTGATGTGGTTAATTTCCGGAGGAAAAAAAAAAAAAAAAAAAAAGAATAACATTATTATTATTTTTAGTAAACTATCCATGGATATAAAGTTGGATCGACAATGTACTGTACACTTGACCTTTACCTTTGATGAGAAAGGAAAAGCGTATATCTTAAAATTTCTATCAAGGTAAAATCTATGCACTTTAATATTTGTACGAATGTGATAAATCAGGATTGCCTTTTGTTGTGCAGAAAAATGTACAGTGTAACGCGCGTGTTGTTTATTAAATTGAATTTCGAATTTTGGATTCTTCTCTAGTTATTTTTGGGTTTAGTTGATCATCGCTGGGTTTTGATGGTTTTATAATATTTGGGTTCCAAATGAGCCAATCAATTTTTATTATTCGGACGTGAAAAATGATTTTCTTTATTTTTTAACGTTTAATGGTGAAATCTTCAACAATTACCTCATAAAAGATTGTGAAATGACGCCTACAAGTTTGATTAGTAGTTTAGATATCAGCTAACTTTTAATCTTTCCGTGTCACGTCGTTTAAATTTGGAGATCGCGTGTGATATACCGAACTCCGACCGATCTCCTTTCCATTCGTTGGCACAAAAAAAAAAAAAAAAAAAAAAAAAGGATATTGTGCTTCTCGAAGAGAAAACGAAAGCATTGTTTACAAAACAAGTTCAACTACATGAGCATTGCATATACGAGCAAAAGACACCCTTCGAGCGAAAAATAATAAAAAGTTTTGGACTGGAGAAAATAAATTCTTTTTTATTTCTTTTGTTTAAATTTATCGTATAATATTTTTTACGAGTTCGAGCGGTGAAAAATTTTCATGAATTGTTTGTTTCATTGATCAGAAACAAGAAAAAAAGTGTTTGCATGCATTGCATTCGATGTATTATTTGTAAGTATGTATTGTATTCCTTATGATAATTCCAGGTTTCCGATCACCCGGTATAGGCGAAAAGGCTTTCAATGTTCTCCTCCCTTCAACAAAAAAGTAATGATTGTTTGTTAAGATTTTTTTTTTGTTATCGAAAACGTTACTTTATGGGTTCGTTTCTTTTTTTTTTTTTTTTCTTTTTTTTTTAGGGGTTTCATAATTTATTTTGGATTCTGATAACGTAAAGTGTGACAATGACAAGTTGGGTTATACCCACTTTTTAAGGGGATCCTATCAAATTTAAACATTATTATTTGAGTAAGAATGAAACAAAAACATATTAAAAACACCTCCCTAGATAGGATTAGATGGATTTTAATTAAAACTTTAAAATATGTTTATTTAAAAAAAAAACCTGTATTCTCTCCAAAAAGGAATAATTCCTAGATAAAGGATCTAAAAAAAAAAATTGGTATTATTCGTAATTCTATTTTTTGGGTAGTACTCAACCTTTATTTTGGTATAATGAGAAAGGGGAAAGATGGCATTCTTTTTTTTTTAGATCGGATGGTTCTGATCGACAAAAATACATGCCTTTTCTTATTTTTGTAATTTTTTTTTTTTTTTTGTATCCCATTATCTCATCTCGTAATGTAACCATTTCATAGTTATAATGATACATTGATGCATTATCGTGATATTACAAGTTTTTTTTTTTTTTTATTTATCTTTGGTGATGACAATTAATATTGTCTCATTTACTTTACCTTTTTACCATAAAGAAACCATTTCAAGGGTGTCGATCTTTTAAAACATTTTAAACAATAGTAATTGATCATAAATTGGACAATACAAATTAGATTTACACAAAGTCACAAAGTAAATATATTGACGATCTTAGATGAATTTGTTGGAATGTAATGTTTAAAAATGATTATTATCAAAAGATTTTCATATCAGGAATAATAATAAGAATACAAAAAAAAAAAGAATAAAAAGACCAAATAATCTACCATTATTTTAAAACCAAAAATCAACCCCTCCTTTAATTTAACGACAAGTTCTTGGAAACGTTTTTACTTTACACAAAGTTAATTATTTTAATTTTTCTGGTAAAAATTAAAGTTTTAAATTTGTTAAAGTACTGTAAATTTTTGTATAAATAAACCCAAAAAAAAAAAAAACTCCAAAAAATTCAAACGAATACCTCCACATTTGTAAAATAAAAAAAAATTTTTTTTGATAAAAAATATCATATTTCATTAAGCATGTCTTCATTCACAACAATCCCACAATTCACGCAACCAATCTCAAAAACTTCCCCCATTGGAATTATCGGTGCAGGCCCTGCCGGCATATCAATAGCTTATAATTTACGAAAAGAAGGATACAAAAACATCACGATCCTTGAATCATCATCACACATCGCAGGGAAATCCGCTACCTTCTATCATGAAAATAAAGGTTATGATGTAGGAGCATTGATGGTCGGCCATAATTACACGAATATAAAAGCTCTCGCCTCCGAACTTGATTGCCCTCTTGAAACATTTTGCGGCCGTGCACTCGATATCGATAATAATACCTACTACGTAGATAACACAGATAAAATTGGTATCTACTCCAAACTGCTGCCTAACCTAAACCATTACTTGGAAGAGAAACAATCCTTTTTGGATATCTCTCGACCTGGTCATGGTCAATTAAGTGAATGTGAACTATACGCACCCATCACCCAATTCTTAAAGGACCGAGACATGCCCTATTTAAAGGACGCTTGGAGTTTGGCTTACACCAGTGCTGGATACGGTTACGTTGAGGATGATATTCCAGCAGCCTACTTCCTCAAATTTATTGAAAATTCCGAAAATACGATTTCGTATTTTAAAAACGGTTTCCAAGACTTTTGGTCAAAGATGGCAGAGGTATGCGATCGGGGTTTCTTTTTGAAATTTTGAAACGGCAACTTTTTTGCTGCGCCAACTAAACTTTTTTTTTTTTTTTTCCAGAAACTCAATGTGATATGCAATGCCAAAGTCATATCGGTTGATCGTTCTCTCAAAAATCAAAATTTAGGACCAATACTTGTCACAATTCAAAATTCCCTCCGGGACTTCTCCCAAACCCTCGCATTCGACCACATCATCATTGCCACGAACCCTCGTCAAACCGAACAATTCCTTTTACCAACTCCGGTAGAAAAGGACCTCTTCTCAAAAATCATCACCTTCGAATTTTATACAATCATCGCCACAGTCAAGAATCTACCAACAAAAGTGGGGATGACAACCATCCCAAAGTTTTGTTCGGATAAACGTTATGTTGGTCACATCACTGCGTATTACTGCGCTTATGATGGAGTTCCAACTTACATCTTCTATGCATACGGAAATAAAGAAATCGGTCCTGAAAAGGTTACCGAAATGGTCAAACAAGATATTATAGATATGGGCGGAGACCTAGAGGAAATACATTATAATAAACGATGGGATTTCTTTCCTCATGGTAAATGATAGTTTTTATTTATCCTCATTATTTTTTTTTGCCTCTAAAAAATTTTTTCCTAAATTTCCTTTTTTCTGGTTAATAGTTTCCTCACTAGAAATGGCAAGAGGCTTTTACAGCAAGGTTGAGAACATGCAAGGACAAAATGGAACTTTCTATGTCGGTGGCTGGTTAGACTTTGAGCTAACCGAGAATTGTGTATCCTATTCACGTGATTTGGTCAGGCGATTCTTCAACCTTTCCAATAATCCAGAAAAATCGGCACATTTACCAATCCAATCGCAAATTGAGATAAAGCCTGCCTCCACGCTTAATTGGGGTATGGTGTTACGTTTAGCTGCCAAACGGTTCCCTAATAAAATCGCCTTCACCTGGGTCGATGTTAACATCCGGGAGGAGGCGACGATCTCATATGCACAATTATACAAGCAGGCCCGATCTGTGGCTCACTATTTAAGGAATAAAGCGGGACATAAAGTTGGTGACCCAATCTTACTATGTTATGCCCCCGGTCTTAAATTCCTTCCGATTTTATTTGGTTGTATGTTAGCAGGAATAATCGCTGTTCCAATAGCCCCACCAAATCTTGCAACGGCCGAAAAAGACATTGCCAGGTTCAAATATTTAGCCCAAACTACTGGTGCAAAGTTAGTATTTTCGGACCGAAATTACATGAATTATACCAGATTGTACGCCGCTGGTAGTTTTATTGGGATCGGAAAAAAGGTCGACTGGCCTGAAGATTTAACTTGGGTTGAAGGAGAAAGCATCATTTCATCATCGGAACTATTTGATGAAAAATTAATTGAAACAGTAGGATGTGAAAACGTTGCCGTTTTACAATTCTCTTCCGGAAGTACGGGGGATCCAAAAGGTGTCATGTTAACCCATAAAAATCTCTTACACAACGTGGACCTGATGCAAAATGAAATCAACCTGGATGAGGACAGTACGATAGCCTTCTGGGTACCACAATTTCATGACCTTGGCCTGATCGGGGGTTTCTTAAATACGATTCGGGGAGGATGTCAGTCAGTCGTTATGTCACCTTTAACATTTTTACAAAATCCTGCCAGCTGGCTTCAGATGATAACGAATTATCAAGCCACGTTTACTGCGGCCCCAAACTTTGCCTACGAATTAGTGGCTCGAAAATGTGAAGATAAGATTATTGGAAAGTTGGACTTCACCTCATTACGTGGTGCTTTTAATGGTGCCGAACCTGTACGTTGGTCAACCTTGAAATCCTTTGCCAAAAAATTCGGACCCGCAGGATTTAAACTTTCAACATTCAAGTGCCTTTATGGCTTAGCTGAACATTGTGCTTACTCGGTAGGGTTCAGGAACAAACATGATATTCCAACGGTTATAGACATCGATCCCGATTTACTTCGTGAAGGCCGGGTTAAAATTCAAAGTGGACGTCAAGAAAATAATATCGTTTCAACTGGTGTGCCTAATTTGGCCATGCAAGTTGAAGTTAGAGTTGTTGATCAAGAAACCAGCCAACTTTGTTCTCCAAACGTTATTGGTGAGGTTTGGGTATCTAGTCCTAGTGTTGGAAAGGGTTATTATGGAAAGAAGGAGATAAGCGAAGACACATTCAATGCAAAGTTGGGCAATAACGACCACGGTAATTGGGTTACTGATAGTGGAAGTTTCTTAAGGACCGGTGACCTTGGATTCCTACATAATGGGGAACTCTTTATTACAGGACGCGTAAGTATTTAATTTTTTTCCTTTACGAGTTGATTCACGTGATACGCAGCAAGATATTAATCCTTTTATTATTGTTATTTTTTTTTTTTTTTGATGCCTTTATAGCAAAAGGATGTGATTATTATCAATGGTAAGAATCATTACCCACAGGACATCGAATTGACAGTTCAACAATGTCATAATGATATTCGACCTGGATGCATTTGCGCAATCAATCATTCCGATGCCGAAAATGGCACAGAGTCGCTTGTCGTCCTCGTTGAGATCAGACAACAAAAGGTGATTCAACAAGAGACCTTACAAGAAATTTGTGATTGCATCTCACGAGCCGTTCCAGGAATCCATGGTCTTCCATGTCAACGCATTGTACTATTAAAGCAACATAGTTTGCCAAAGACGACTAGCGGAAAACTTCAACGCTCCAAGGCAAAGGATATGTTATTTGGTGGCCTAATGGATAAAAAGATTCTTATCAATATCGGAGAAGAATCCAATGAAGTTCCTTCCAAATCACGCAGCAGAAATGTAAAATTTTGTCCACAAGCACCTATAGTGGACTTGAAATCAATTGAACGAAAAATATGCGTTCATGTTCACCGAATTTCTAAATTGGCAGCCAAGAAACCAGTTAGTGAAATCGATATTCAAGCCAATTTAATCACGTCTTACGGGTTCGATTCACTCGGAGCTGTGCAATTAACGGCCTGTCTCAAAGAAGAATTTGGCATTGAAGTCGCTCCTGCTCTTTTGATGGATTTACCAACAATCTCTGGATTGGCTGGACATGTATTAAAACAGTTACCTCCTCCTTCAAACGTGATTTATGAGGAACCGCTTTCATTTTCTGAAGAAGAAGAAGAAGAAGTTGTAGAAGAAGAAACCGCCTTGACAATCCAACAAATTCAAGAAAAGATCGCCAGTCATGTGCACGCCATTTCAAAAGTGGCAGGAAAGATCCCCAAAAATCAACTAAATGTCAACGCCAATCTCATTACTGACTATGGATTCGATTCATTAGCCGCTGTACAGTTGACTGCTTCAATGAAGCAAAGTTTCGGTGTTGAGATTGCCCCCGCCTTATTATATGATGTGCATACTATTGCAGATTTAAGTGGGCATGTTAAAAAACTGCTCCCAAAAATTAAAAAGAAACAAAAAATTCGTTCCGTTACTTCAAAAATTTCTCAAAAAGTTATAACAATCGAAGATGATGGAAAAGAAGCTCCAATAGTAGTTCCCTTAGCCCCAAAGAATGTTGTCAATAAACACAACGCACCACTTTATTGCATACATCCATTATTGGGTAATGTAGCAAGTTATGTCTTTCTCGCAAAGAATCTCGGGATTTCCCGACCAGTGTATGGTATTCAAGCTCCTAGTGATGTTGAAGCTGACATAAAAACCTTAGCTCGAAGATACGTACGCGCGATTCAATTACATCAGCAGACCCAACCATATTATTTATGTGGATATTCTTATGGTGGGTTACTTGCCTGGGAAATGGCAAGAATATTACAAGAACTTGGAGCAAAAGTTGGTGGACTTTACCTTATTGATGCGCCTGCCCCACTTCAAAAAAGCGTTAGCAGAATATCATTGGATGGTGAGGAACCACATCTTCTTTGGAAAGATGAAATTGAAAAATTATTAAATGATGTCGACTCTCAATGGATGATTCGATCGGAAAATGAAGATCCTGCTAAAATAGAAGTGTTCAAGAGACAAGTTGGAACTTTAATCGCTTCGATGTATGCATATACATCAGATCTTACAACTATCGAATCAGTTCAACAATTCCCAATCCATTATTGGAGGGCAAAGGATTACGCAGGAAAAACGAGCTCATTACTCCTTGATCATCCATTATTTCATGAACCGAACTTTGGTTGGGAACATTACCGAGGAGAAATCATATTCCACCGAAGTATACCAGGTCATCATTACAACGTATTACGTGAGGAAACATCCGGACGGTTGGCCAGAGAACTTGAGACAAATATGCCAAATCAAAGTAGAAGAGGCAGCATGGATCTTAGACCGCTAATGTTAGAGAAACTTGCTACATCATCACGAAAAAGTTCAACTTTTCCATTGTTCCGTTCAAATTCAAAATCAAAGAATATGGCCGAATTAGTAATGAATACACAAGTACCATTACCCATAGTGCTAGTGGTCTTATTATTCTGTATATATTTCTACAACCTTTTAATATAATATTATTATCTTTGATTTTGAAAAAAAAAAAGAATACTGATACGAATTTTTTTTTAAAAAAAAAAAATTAATTAATTTTTCACTAGTTCATGTTTCTTTTTATCCAATTTATTTATTTTTTGATCTTTATCTTTTTGTGATATAGTTTGTACATAATAAAACAAGATTGTAACATTTTTTTGAAAAAAAAAAAAAAAAACGTGTCTGAATGTCAATTGAAAAGTTTTAAAGTGTTATTTGCAAAAAATTCGCGATACATGAGCTAATGATAAATGCCAAAATAACTTCTTTTCAGCTTTATGTCGAAATTAGAATTGGTGATGCTGTAATATATTTCACAAATAAGTTTCTAAATTCTCTTTGCCTCGAAATTACAATTTATTTAACCGAAACCTGACCAAGTAATTTAATGATTTTATCACACGAGCCTTTTTTTAAATAGAACTATTAGTTCGTAATTCATGGTAATACTGTTATGGCCAATCATGCATAAACTGTGAAGTCGCTATAAATTCTTCAATATTAATCTCTCGTATTATTTCTTTCGAAAATCAAAGCATCTCATTCATGAGTTGTTAACCCTTCTCAAAAAAGATGCAAGGCTTAAAATACGTCAGATTTTTTTTATTTTATTTTATTTTATTTTTTTATCGCAAACTTTAAATTTCTTTATGTTCGAAATTTTTTTTTTTTTTTTATTTATTTATTTATAAGCTTAATAAGTCGTCTTTTATTTTAGTATATCAAGAAATATATTAAATTAGGTTCAATAATGATTCACATGTATCGAAAGAGTATTTCGCTAGCAACATTGATATATCTCAAAATCAGCTTACGTAATCTTTAACTATAAAATTAAAAATATATTAAATTACATTAGCTGATACGCTTTCATTTATATGTTATACAGGACATAAATAAAACGTTTGTTTTGTGAGATGGGCATGTCATTATCTGTTCCCTTCATTTTAAGAAATAAAAAAACTATTTAGAGTTGGTGCAATTGTATGATAATCAAAATTATCCATGTACACTATACCAAATATGGTTAATCAAATGGTAAAATGCAATTAATGCAGGTATGAAGAATCCGTATCACCGAGTTTAAAAAAAAAATTCTAAACTATATTCATCATTTTTAAAAAGAAAGTGTGTAGAGAACTTGTCATTTGAATTTTTGAGAAAAAGAAAGCCATTACGATTTAAGTAATGATCAAGGGAATAATTAAATGTGGCTGTGCATATCATAATTGTTAAAAAAAAAAAAAAATAAATAAAAATAAACAAGAATTCGTTACATTCTCAATTCTCAATTTTTTCAATAAAAAAAAAAAAAATGTTAAACAAGAACGTTATTACGATAGGAATCAGGTAAATGAAAAAAATTATTCTTTAGTAATTTTTACTGTTACCGTTACTCATCTTAAACAAAAATCAATCGTAGCGGTGCATCATGTTCCGGTAAATCTGTATGTAACTATGTTTTTAAGAAAAAAATCAATCTTTGAATTGGATGTTTATAAGATTTTTATGTTACTATTAATAGACATTGGCAAGTTTGTTAGGAAAGATTCTTCCAAACACGACGATATTATATCAAGATGATTTTTTCAAGGTAAAATGTTTTTCCTAAAAAAGAAAAAAAAAAATTTTTTTTTTTAAAAAAAATCACTTCATTTTTTAAGAACGATGACGAAATCCCAACTGATCCGGTGACCAAACTTCCAAATTGGGATTGTCAAGGGGCAATAGATTTCGATTCATTCGTAAAAACGCTTCGTCATTTACGTAAAACTGGTATTCTTCCACCAACGTTCGTTTCTAAAGAAAGTAAAAATAACCGTAATGAGGTTGGATCTGCCGAAATAAATAACTTGGTTAACGAATTATCCGAACGAGTTATGAATCTATTAAAAGAAAATGGTGAAAAGAAGGATGAATGGAGTTTTTTGTTCGTTGATGGGTTTTTGTTATATGTCGATCAAGACGTTATCAATGAATTGGATATTAAATTATTCGTTAAAACGAAACGTGAAATTTTAAAACGACGAAGAGAAGCTAGATCGGGTTATGTCACCATAGAAGGTATTGTAAAGACAATATATATATATATATATTCTTTCTTACCTGTTGAATTTATTATTTTTTTATTTTAAGGTTTTTGGGAAGACCCACCAAATTATTTTGAAAATATAGTTTGGCCAAATTATGTCCAAGCCAATAAGCATATATTAATGCAATCGGGAGATTTAGAAAAGGATGAAAATTTAGTGTCTAAAATAATTAATGATGATTTAATTATATTAGAATCCGATGACGTTTCAATGTTGACTAAAAACATTGAAACATCAGTAATGAAAGTTTTAGATCATATTAAGAAAAAAATTATCAAGGAAAATCATGTGTTGATCTGTGGAATCTGATTTCCGTACTTGTGATCTAAGGTCCATTAGCAAACTATTTTGGAAATCTTAAATGGAAACAACGGTCCTCTGTATACATTTGTTAGGAAGATATAGATATGTGAGTCCTAATAAAGAAAAAATGAGATTTAAACAATAAAAAAAACACGTATTGTAATGGATTCGAAATTCATTTATAAAATGCAAAAAAAAAATTTTTGATGCTTAAAAAAAAAAAAAAAAAAAATTATTTTTTCCACCCAATTTCAAAAAAAAAAAAAAAACTAAATAATAATAACGATTATCAAAAATGGTTAGAGTAAATTCGCCATTAGCGGAAACTCCGTCCGCACGAGATTACATCGATATAATGGTGGAAATTAAAAAGCTCGGATTATTTAGCAACTTTGAAGAGCATACGCCAACAATTGTGGTCTTTGGTGATCAATCAAGCGGTAAAAGTTCTGTCTTGCATAGATTAACTGGTGGTTTACCAATTCCAAGGTAGATTATAAAATACATATTCGCCATTTCATTTCATTTTATTTAAATCCTTCTTTATCATCATCACAGAGGATCTACAAAATGCACGGCAACACCTTTTGAAATACGTATGCTGCAATCCGAAGAATCAGTCAGTAAAGTTTCTCTGCGGTACATCGAAGATAAAAACCGTAAAACTGTGGTATCAAAAGAAGTTGAATTTTGTAACTTATTAGGCTTGAGCGAGTCTGAAGTCGAAGCGAAATTGCGTGAAGCTCAACGTTATGTACAAAATCCAAGTATTACTGACATTAAAAATGGACGATTGCCACCCACGGATTCTGATGAGTTGGCTTTTACAAAAAATGCTGTATGCGTTACAATTAGTGAACCGGATCAATCTTATAGTTTATCCATGGTTGATTTACCGGGTAAATAGAAATACTTTGATATTACATTTTATATATACATATATAATGTATTTATTTCTCTTATTACTCCTCTTCTGCAGGAATCGTACGAAACCACGAAGAACATGAAAATTTCGTATTATCCTTGGTAAAAGAATATATCAAGAAAGAATCGGCAATTTTGCTCCCAATCTTTCAGGCAACCTCGGACATAGCCACGCAATGTGCATGGCGTCTTGCACGTGAAGCAGATCCAAGTGGCAAACGTACAGTAGGTGTTTTGACAAAAATCGATCGTATCATCGATTATTCGCATGATGACGAAAAACACGTTGAACTCGCCACTCTAGTAAAAGGCAAAGGAGAGCATCAAATTACAAATGGTGTTTATATTATAAGGAATCCTACCATTGGGGATAGTCATAACCCAGATGAACTGGAAGCCATAACCATTAGGACTCTTAAACAACATAAAATTTGGAGGGAGGTACCGGCTAATAGATTTGGCTTGCAAAATTTGATCAATAAATTAAGTGAATTACAAGGTCAGGCTCATGAACGGTCATGGCCACACATCCGTCCCCTTTTGGAAGAATGTAGAGATGATTTTGAAGAAAAATTAAGGAGTCTTCCACATAAACCTGGTGGAAATCCAATTATCCGTTTCTTGGAATTAATTGGTTCATTCGACAAATTATTCACTTCTCACGCGAATGCCGAACATATGGATCATAGGTTGTATCGTGGGCAGCAATGGAACTTTGGTCAATTCGATCAAGCATTATTGAATACTCGTCCAATATATAAACTTACGTTTGACGGTGAGGTAAAAAACACTGAAACGTTTGATCCCATAAGACCTGGTGCGTTGCAATATCGTGGATGGACGAAAAATTTAAGAGATGAAATTACAGCTGACAATTGGGGTGAGTTGAACAAGAAAGACGAAAATGATTATATATGGAATTTAGAACAACTTTGTGAAGTCGTACAAGGAAGCCAAGGTGGCCAATTGGTTGGTTTCTTTCCATTTAAAGCGGTGGTTGCCATTGTTGCAAAGCATCAAAAAGATTGGTTTCCGATTTCTACCAAATTGTTGGATAAAAATCATGATTGGATTGGCCAATTCGTTGATGAATTGGCAGATTCCACCTTTAAAGAGTTCCCAAATGTTATTCAAGAAATCAAGTAAGTTGAGACAATAATTTTCGCGTTTTCACGTGATTTTAGCAATCAATTGACTTTCCTTTTTTTTAAAAAAAAAAAAAAAAATGAAAATGAATAGGACCATTTTACGTAAGTTATTAAAGAATTGTAAAGATGAAACTTTAAAACGTCTTAAAGATCTTGAAGACATGGAACACATGTCTGCCAGTAGAGCTCTTTATGTCACAGATGAAGCCAGCATCCTAAAAAAGCAGTCAAAATATTATATCAAACTTCGAATATTATCAGCAGTATCAAAACAAGAGGGTCAAGACTTAAAAACGATTATGGAATTAGGATCAAAATTATTCGACATGATGTATAGCGAAGATACTATCGAAGAGGATTTTGAGAGAGTAAAATCAGACTTGATTAATCTCATTACGGATTGCCATGAGAATTTGGATGATTCATCCCAAAAATTAATTGAAGAAATCAAAAGCTCTAGGATTTCAACAGAGATGCCATCAACGGCAACTCTATCCATGATGTTGATTATTAAAAATCAATACCTAGACAAATTAATTGGGGTGGTTCCTAAATTTGAGGATTCTACAAATCAAACCATATTAAGAGCTACCGTCAACGAACACGCTTTCCTTGCTGCTACGGTATATCTTTTAATACAATATCAAGTGTGTAAGATTAATATTTTTTTCGTCGAATTAATTTAAAAATTTTTGCATTTTTAGGGAGCCTTGGCATATTGGAAAATGTCGCACTCTAAATTTCGGGAGGTCGTACCACGTGTAGTAGAATATTACCTTGTACATCAATTTGCCATCCGTCTAGGAATGCATTTACGTCAACATTTCAGACTATTGGGATCAGATCCGGAACCTTCGGAGTCACCAGAAAATCCCGAACATATAGACTTGAAGAATTTATTAGGTGAAGACCCATTGTGCGCAAAGAATCGTGAAGAATGGGAAAATAATAGTGCCGTACTTAGTAGTATCATTGATAGGGTTCGAAAAGCTTCTGTAAGAAATCATCAAGGTACTACTAATGGTCATCGTAGAAGTCGTAGATAAATAACACAAAAAACGAATGTAAAATAAGGAATTCAGTATTTATTTTATCAAATATCACAGAATGTTTGAAAAATAACCAAAAAATATAAATATAAATATCAAATAAAAATAAAAATAAATGGATTGAAAAACTTTTTTTGTTTTGTTAAGATTATTTTTACAGAAGGATGCTAAAATGTCCTATTGAACTTGTTCCATAACCTTTACATCGATTTTTATACCACTTGCATCCCCTGTTTCATCATTTACAACCATCCTTTGATTTTTTTGACTTGTTTGATTTTCTTGATTTTCTTGATTTGCTTTCCTGGAATAAATGCCCCTTTTAAGCCTAGCATCTTTTCTATCATTTCTTACGGCCAAAGGTTTTTGTTTCCATTTAAATTCTTCATTCAAAAATAATCTACCTCTCTTTAATTCTAATTTTTCATGTTGAACAAAGATGGGCCATTCCATCCCCTTTTGTTCCTTTGGTAAGTCCACCATTGCCATTCCTTCCCAATAAATTTTCAATAAACTATTTTGTTTTGATTCCATTTCACGCGCTTCAAGTTGTCGTAAAGATTGACATAAGGCTAATACACTTGATTCAACTAAATTCATGTCCTCATGAACGCGTAAACGTTTCTCCATTTTATAATATTCTGAAGATTTCGGTCGATTTTGAAGTTTACGCAAAATTATATTACTGGTGGTCATTACTGAACCATAAGAAGAAAATCCTGATATTGCAACAAATGGAGTCCAATGATCTTTACGAAGTTTATGAGGACGTAATGCGGCATCTTTTATTTGTCGTAAATATTTACTCTTGAAAAAAATATATATTTAAGAATTATTATTATTATTATTATTTTATTGAATTAATGTCTCGAACTAAATACCTGTATAATTCTTCCAACAGTAACTAAAACTTGAGAAGTTTGTACATGTCTATACATAAATAATTGATCTAATCTCCTTTTACAATTTATTTCGAACTTCATTTTTTTTTGAATGAATTCAAATCGTAAATGGGTTATATTTATAATAAAAAAAAAAAAATAAAAAAATTTAAGCCTGATCAACTGATAAGCGATCGTGTAACTTAATCAATTTTGTTCCCAGTAGATCTATTTTTACTTTTATATGCCTTTTTATAAAATCTAATGAATAATATCAAAAAACTTCCATTACAAAACATAGAAAATATAAATGCATTAAATCCTAATTGACATTTATTCGTAAAATGGAAATAAAGATATGGTATTGACAAGATAAATGATGTTGAGAATTGTATAATTTGTCCCGTGGTAATATATTTCTATAAATATAAATATATATATATATAAAATAAAATTTAAATTTAAAAAGTTATGATTTTTATTCAAAGAAACAACGAAAAGCGTAAATTACCTTAAACCATACTGATCTTCCTAACGACGTGGAAAAGTAATAATAATACATGAAAACATGGATAAGAGTATTTGCGATCATTCCGATACTTGTTTTGTAAAGAGAGTAGAATATTTAGTATTTCATTAATATTCGCCTTGAACAAACGTAACACTATTTATTTATTTACCTCGCATACATATTAGCATCTTCAAGCCACGACCAAACCATAAGGATGACGATAGCATGATGATACCAATGAAGAAAAATAATAGGTTTCTGAAATACAATTTATAAATCATTGTAAGTTTGACGGCTAACCTTTACTTAAGAATAAATAAATATCTTACCTTCTTTAAAACTAAGATCACGGTATCAAACAATTCATCGAATTTTGATAAATAATAAGCATAAGTAACATAAAATAACCTTCCTTTATTTGAAGAAGAATCAGAAGTACAAAAGCATTCTCCAATTCCACGTTCCTAATTTAGTTAAAAAAAAAAAAGTCCAACAATTAAATCATAACCAAAAAAAAATAGATCATTTAATAATAATTTTATTACCTGGTATCGATGAAAAAAATCAATTACAGCATATCCAAACATAATAGCTGATAAAAGACATAATATTAGATTATGCGCTGCTGTGCCATATCGCATTGAAAATGGTGTAGTTGATGACATAATGGCCTTAACGTAAAAAATTTGGACTTAACAATTAATTTCTGCTTCTATTAAAACAAAAAGTAAAAAAAAATTAATTACCTTCAGACCGATAATAGTCACAAAATAAGTTGCCCAGGCACCCACAACAAACTATAATAAAACCAATTCTTTTTAATTTTTATACTCTGTGTTATTCTGCTTAATATAATTCTAACCTGCCAATTAGAAAAGGGCGTAATTCCAACTTTCCATTGAAATTCATTAGGTTCCGTAAATTGTGAAAAATCCCAATTTGATGTATTATATGGAATTGAAAAAATTTCTTCAATTCGAGAAATTAAATTCTTCGCGTCAGTCATAATTAAAAATTAAAAACCGGTATTAAAAAAATAAAATAAATCATTGTGATCAATTTATAGTTAATTTCGTGTTACCTTAATTAATATTATACAGAAAATGTACAAACTAGGTAAGACTTTATGAATTAAAAATTACTTTGGAAGTTAATTTATTTTAATCTTTTTATAGAATACTAGAATTAAATTATCAATAATTACAACTAAAATTACAATATAATTTTTCAAAAATCAAATTTTCTATTTTATTGAATGAATCATATTACACTTGTTCCATTGGTTCAATGTCGTTTTTCTCTAACAAAGAAATTTTACTTGGCGATGAATGCTGACGTAATTTTACACCGGCTTCTTTAAGAATTTTTGCGGTTTTCTCGTCCATACCGTAAGACCTTTGTTATTGAAGAATGATCAGGGAATATATTCAAGACAAAGAATTTGTAAATGAGTTTGTGATTTCTCACCGATTGTAAACCACTTCAACGACTCCAACTTGAATTAGCTTCACTGAACATCCTAAATTAATGAAACCTACGTAAAATTATTCTAAAAATGATTTATTACGTGTCAAATTTCATACCTAAACACGGACATCTAAAAAAGAAAAATTAAATTAATCGTTTGAATATAAATCAATCTCTTGATTCATACTAGTCTAAAACTTACGTGTTACAATACAAGATGCACCCTATACCAACTCTTTCTTTTCCTGCTTCTAATAACGCGTTTTCTTCAGCATGAAGACAAAGACAAGAATCCAATCCTTTTCCACATGGCACACCATCATTGCAACGTTCACAACCACCTTCGTTGCAATTTTTCAATCCTTTTGCCGTACCATTATAACCAGTAGCTATAACCCTATGATTCTTTACTAATATACAACCGACTTTACGTTTCATGCAATTGGATCTAGAAGCTGCTAAATCAGATAAATGCATAAAATAAGTGTCCCAAGTTGGTCTTAGTCGATCCGAATCCGTAACGTTTATGCTAATGAGATAAGAATAAAGCGGAGGTAATGATAAGTATGAATTAGCTATAAATATATCTGCAAGTGACATTATTTCAAAAATTGATGTGGTGGTATTATAGTCTTCTTCTTCGTCTGACGTCATTGATGTCTCCCGTTGTTGTTCCTGCTGTGTAATTGGTAATGTGAATTCGTTATTTGGAGCGACACTATTGAACAATTGTTGATCACTTGCAATAACGAATTCATCCAATGTTGGTTCAGGTAATCTAAATTCTTGACAACTTTTAAATCAAATTAAAAATCAGAATCCGCCTCGGATTTTTAAAATCATTTGAATTATAAATTTAAATTACCGAAATAAACATCGTTGATATCGAATAGTTATGGGACTGTCTACTGTCAACAACAAGAAGAATGGGCGTTTTCTAATTATAAATGAATTAAATGTCAAAGAAAATAATTATTGAAAGTAAAAGTTAAATATAATATAAACCTATATAATTCAAGAACTTTATGATTGTCAATATCACACGTCACAAAGTTGTCTATCCAATTCTTCGTAACGTAAAATAACAAGTCTTTTGGAGTATTAAACTGTATTGCGGTAAGACCATAATGTTCAGTGTTTTTAAGTGAAAGTAATGTAAAACCATGAGTTGTAATGAGCCACTTTGCAATAGAATGTTTTCCAGAACAAATGGGCCCAGTAATTCCAATAAACATTTTTTATTCTCGAATGGTTTTATGGTATTTATGGTTTTATTCCAAGAGGTTAATAAATCTATTGATTTATGTCGGCACTAGATGATCGTCTGTTATTTATAAAACAATGCAATGTTTCTATTTAAATTATATTACCAAAAAAAGTCAATTTAAATTAGAAGATAACTTTATTAATTTTATCATATATTACATATAAAAATAATTTGATAATTTTGTTAGTAATCTATATCAATTATCTATCAAATTTTTTACATTGGTGTAACTTTAGTTAAAATAATAAGAAATAATTATTAGAAATATCAAGATTTTTTAATATCATTTAATCTAATAATTCAAAAAATTAAAATATAATAAATTTGTTCAATCTGATTTAACTAGAAATTAATTTATATAATAAATTAAAATAATGAATAAATTATCTTTATTTTTAAAATGTTTATAAAAATAAAATCTAAAATATATTATTAAAATAATAAATTATATAAAATTATATAAAGATAAAAATATTGTAATGATAAAAAAATGCAAAAACTTTAGTTAGTATTTTTATAATTATAAAAAAATTTAAAGTTTAAATATACTTTTTAATTTTAAATTAGAATTTTTTAATATAATTAATTTAAATTAAAATAATAAATTTTAAGAAACTATAGTTTTTAATAATTTTGATTAAATAAAAATAATTTGAAAAATTTAATAAAAACAAAATAATTGTATTATAAACAGATATTAATAATTTGATTGATTTATATAGTATAGTATAAAATATTAAATATACTGACATAATTAACATGTTTGACATTCTTAATATATTTAATATAATTGATATATTTGATTTATCTAATATATTATTAAATAGAATATTAAAAGTTTATATAGAGGACTAAAATTTATCATAGAAAA